CCGCGGGCACTTAGCCCGCTCTTTCCCTCGCCCTGATCCCGCCTCTCTTGCCGCCCCCGCCGCCGCCGTAGGCTCTCGCGGCTGCCGCTGCGGCGAACGACGCCGCCGACGCGCGGCTCGCGGTAGAAAGCTTTCATAATTGCGGTCTTCGCAAACACTTCAGCCGGTGAAGAATTTCTTGGAAGTTGTGTGTAATAAGATGGTCTATACAAAACAACGTACTGTTGGGGTTCCAAGGAGTCGGGAAATTGCAGCTTTTGCGTTGCAGTTTGAGATGAACTTTTGTGGTAAAATTCCTGAAAAAAAGCAAAAAAAGCAATTTACTTATCTTGGCACAATATATTGTCTTATCTTAATTGATTCTAACTATAAATAGGAAGTAGTTTTAACATTCGAAACTTTTTCTTTCATTTGACGTCTGAAAATGAACCATGTACTCTACATCCAAAACGTCTACGAAGTAAAAGTATTACTTTACGAATTCATGGTACTTTATTTCATGTTACGTCATTAAATTTTCAAGTTTTGTTATTTTGAATTTAACAATTACCGCAGCTCTTTGTCTCAATATTCAGGATTTTGGAACTGCAGCTTCTTCTATTTGCCTTGGTCTTTGAGATTATATGCACACACACACACACACACACAATTAAAAGCAATGTTTTATCTTAATGTCATATTAAATATCGCATATTGTAACTTTTAATAATAGAAATAATATAATAATAGATAATATTTTTTGTATGCTATTATAATTATTCTGTTCTATTTTTTTCCTGTTTAATGGTCAATTATTTGTACAAGTTATGTTTTCAGAAAATTAACGAAGCAGTAATGAAACGAGAATAGTCCATCAAACAATGTTAACAAAGTTTTTCTTGTAGTTAATAACGTACTACTTGCGGGCACTCGAGTACTTGCGATTACTAAATAGTTTTATCTTCGTTTAACTTTCGATTTATGAATTAATGTTCTGTTAGATCTGTCGCGCAGGGCCGAAGGAAGGTCGACCGAGAGCGCCATTGTCTGTGGGAGCCCAGCCGCTCCCCCAGCGCCCGCATCTCCACCCCTGTCCGCGCCCCACAGCGCCCGCGCCGCGCCCGCGCCCGCACACGCTGTTCAGTGGAGCGCTTACAGCCCTCGGCAACGCGTCTGGAGGGGCAGCCCCCCCCCCAAGCCCTCATGTCCTTACAACTCTGTCTTTTACTGCATCTCCACGCATTCTAAGGCTCTGTTACTTCTCCTGATTGATTATTTCGTGTTTCGGCCACATCTACAGTCATTATTTTGGAAAGTGCAAATAAAGTTATATCTCAGGGGAGGTCTACATCCTCTGCTTTAACGTGATATTTGTAACCGACCTATACGTCGGCTTGCAGGGTTTCCCATCTGCGGGCATCATCGCTAGCAGGGCAACTCTGCAGCCGTACAAGCTCGAAGCTTTGGCTGGCCTTCCTGGTGCGTGTGTGTGTGTACGTATGTATGCATGTACGTGTGCAAGAGGACAGGGCAAGGATGAAGAATGAAAGTTCGCGGGCGGTTCATGTCATATATTTTACTGCTTCGACAATCTTCTGAAAATTATTACCGAACAGAACTGTCGGCCACTATAATTCTCTTCCACGCAGCAGTTAAAACCTTCCTAGTTTACTAGCTAGTGTTGAAAATACCGTCGGAGCCCGAAGTTTAGGTTCTCCTGTTCAACGATGTAGTGACAACGTTTGTTGCTCAGGGCTATGTCAGTCGGTTCATATTTTCCTCACACCAAGCTTCCTGCTTGACTCATTCCCTTCATAAACTTTTCACAAAATCTACACTTCATCCGTCACATTTAGAATCACTTAGTATAGCCGCCCCCTGACCCTCACCCTTTTGTCAATGTTCTCGATTGCATTCTGCTAAAAAATTTCACCCTATGTTAAAACCTAAGAGTGCGGTATGATAGTGCTGTAGAAATATACCACGAAAGAAAGTAGAGAGAAATCATTCAGTGAAATGATTATGCCGAGGTAGTATAATACAATTCATCTTAGTATATAATCCACATTGAGGTTGAGGTAATATTATACCGCATATTTTCTTTTACGAGCATTTACTTAACATATTTTTAATCTTATTATATCACAACAAATTGAAACCCTACCATCAAGTGATTTGCACTTCTACGTGAATAAGTACATACAGTTATGAAATCTACTATATCCTGAGATTAATACCAGGGCGTTGCGTAAATGATTTAAACATTTCTGTTTATAAAGTATTTTTATTTTCCTTATATCCAGACACAAAACATTTCGATTGTTTACACTATTACATTACAATAATATTAATGAAATATAGCTAGATACCGCAAGAAAATGCTACATCAATATGTCAAATTGTTATATCAATGCTAGAATTGAACGGTAGATGCAACAAAAGTAAAAAGAAACCTTGTAAATGAATTTAAAATGTGTTGTACAGAAAAACCCTATACTCTAGTAATTAATTGTTTCACTTGAAAGTGAAAAACGGTATAATAATGCATTTGTTTAATAGCATACTAACGAACTAATAATATTCAATAGTATACACGTTATTGGACAGTTGTGAAATATCATTTAGGATGTATGTCGACATCGTACCCTACTAGCAGCACAATGTCCGTATGGAGCTGTCACGCCCAAAGGCCTATAGCTGCCTTACCTCAGCCATCACCGCCAGGGGCTTTGCCGGAAGCTGGGGCTCTGCGCGCCGCCACGTGCTCATCCCTCCCTGCCCACCCGCCCAGAGGCCCATCGCAGCCCGGCAGCCACTTTGCGAGATGGGCGCCCACAGGCACACCGGGCACGGCAACGACGGAGGGTGGCGGAAAGGTGGAGGTGGAAATTGTGAGGACCTCATGGATGGCGAGGGAGATGGAGAGGAGATTGCGGGAGTGTACGGTGCTGACGCTAGAGAAGGAGACAGCGGGGTAAGCTACTTCAAGGTTTGCGAGAGAGGGGTCGACAAGAAAGCAGAAGGTGGGTGACGGAGAAGGTGGGTTGTAGGTGACCGTGCTAGAGGGCGAGGCAAAGAAGGAATGACGATCACTAAACATCTAGGGGCGAAGGAGTGGGGAGGGAAAGAGCAGATCGCTCATGACGCGGGTGAGAAGCGTTGATGAGGAAGCGTCAAAGCTACGACGGGGAGAACATGCAGTTGATGGGGGACGACACTGTGAAGGAAAGCCGACTCTGTGTCACGCTGACGAGGCGGTGGTGGAGGAGACGATTCTGTTGCGGGGAGATCATACTGTTGCAAAAAGGCGACGCTCTTACAAGGACACCGCTGCTGCAGAGAAACGGCCGACCCGGTTGCGGGGAGACGACAGTTGCATGGAAACGGCGTTGCTTTGGGATAACGACTGTTGCAGGAAGACAACGCTGGGAGGGAGGACGGGGGACGCAGACACTTTAGAGGCTGTCGTCACTAGGAAGGGAAGTAGCAACGGTATTTAGGCATGAAACGATGCGGTGGCGGGGAGACGCAGCAGATACGTGACACCATGGATGTGACGGGGAGACGAAACTGTTGAATAGAGACAGCACTAATGCGGGGGACGATGCATACAGGACGGAGACAACGGTTTGCGGGGAGACGACGCTACGGTAAGAAGACGGCATTGTGGCGGGGAAATGAAACTATTTCGAGGTAACAAAGGGACACACGTTGGCGGGAAGATTACGTCGTGACGAGGAGGCTACGTAGTGGCGTAGAGACGTTTTCGCTGGGAGACGACACTGTTACGGGGGGACAATGCTGTTGCGGGGAGACGGTGATGTTTCTGACGGACGACGTTGTGGGGGGCGAGACGGTGTTGTTTCTGCAATACGATTCTGTTGCCGGGAACAACGCTCTTTCGCAATAACGACCCACCTTGAGGGGATACGACACTGTTGCGAGGCGACGGCTCTGAAGTGGGAGGACAAGAGACGCGTGGAGACGACGCTGTGTCAGGGTAAAGACTGTTGCGGGAAGACAATGCTGTTGAAAGGAATCCACGCAGTTGCGTGGAGGCGACGTTTTGGCAATAAGACAATGTTGTGTGGAGGCGGCGCTGTTGTGTGGGGATGAGGCTGTTACGGAAAGACGACGCCGTTACAGGAAGACGACGCTGTTACGGAGAGAAGACGCAGTGATGAAGAGAAGACGCTCTGGTAGGAAGACCACGCTTTGGCGGGGAGACGACACTGTTGCGGGGAAGCGAAGCTGTAGCGGGGACGGTCCTGTTGCTGGGAGACACATTCCATGACGACAGTGTAGCGGTGTTGTTTCGGAATGACGACGCTATTGAAGCGCGACGGTGCGGTGTTGCGGCGTCGACATTGTGGCGAGATGGCAACACTGTTGTACAAAGACGATGCTATGGGAGGGGGTGATGACGCAATTGCAAGACGAAAACGCTGTAGTCACTGTGACGGGGAGACGCTGTAAAGGGGGCAACGAGATTGCTGAGAGGCGTCGTTGTAGTGGGGAGGTGATGCCGTGAGTGGGTGACGTTGCTGTGGTGGGGAGAAGCTGTAGGATAGGGCGTCGTCGTCCGTGGCAGCTCTGGAAAAAGATGACACGAAAATGGTTGTGTTGGGGGTGGCGTGGTGGAGTCTGAGGGAAGCGGTGAGACGAGGTGCTAATAATGTGTCTGAGAGGTTGGCGGCTGCGTCGGTGGAGGGGTCTGCGGCAAGGCAAAGTGGAGAGGGGGAGCGTTATGACGATGGCGCTGGTAGCGTGGCACTGGGCGCGGTGATGGGCGGGGCTGGAGAGGTGGGGAGCGAAGTGGTGGTAATGGCGTTAGTACCGCGGTGACGGCGAGGGCGGCGGTGACGAGGGGAGCTGCGGAGTGGGGAGCTTGGGGCTGGCGGCCCAGCGCGCCGGCCGGAATGGGCTCGCGCGGAGGCCGTAGGCGCGGAGGCGTGCGGGGGAATAAAGAGAAACACTTTACGTGTCGGCTGGACAGCCGCGTTCGCGGCCGACGCGCCGCAATGGAGACGGACGATGTTTACAGCGTTTGTTGGGCGAGATTACGCCAGCGGTTTACACGTCGTAATGAAGCTCTCGCAGCGTCTCAGTGGGTTGGAGTAGGTCCTGGGAATAAAAATGTTGGACGTTAGATTATGTATTAGTTTTTCATGAGCCTCATGCTTTTCATAGGTGAACGTGAATTAGTAGACAATCTTTTGAGTTTTATCAAAGGATTAAACTGGGAGAAAGACAATGAGCGCAGACGTTAAGGAACTCTCCGATGATCGCTATTTAGAAAACAATTGTTTAGGACCATTAGGCTTGCATTTACGTAATTGGCATTTGATTAATTTAATCTATCATGAACTATAATAATTGAAGTTTATTTGTTTCCGTGAAGAGTCAATAACTTCACTCTGAAGGAAAATGCAGTAGGATTGTATTTTTATTTATTTATTTACGTCAAAACAGTTAAAAAGTTATTCATGACGTGCTATGGGGAGAATTTAATTTGAAGTTACATTTATGTCCAGAACCGAAACAGAAGGCCATTTCAGCATTTGCTGGAGGATCAGGGAAACTGGAAGAAAACCTGATCGAGATGGGGGTCATTGATCCAGAAACTGAAGTACAATACTTGTTACAGGTATTTTACAATTATGCAATCCAAATTATATATAATACATTAAGTGTCATTTTAAAAATTAATATTACTTTCCTTTTGGATGCTCAGAATAATCTCTAACTCTATAGAAACAGTTGTGCGGCAGAAAAGATTTTACTTGGGACTTAAATTTTTCTATCGAAATTAATCGTTTAATTTCATCTGGCAAGGTGTAAAATAATGTAATAGTGTAAATATGTGACTTTTTTTGTAGTGAGCTGTTGATACTGTTACCTGATGAATGTGATTACTACGTCGAGTGTTGTAGTTATAGGCAACGACGTTGGCTGAAATATAGTTCCGCACATTAAGAAAGTCATATTTGAGAAAGACCACTGATTCATGTATTAAGAGGCAAGGTAATGGTAAAATACCTTGATTAATAAAGAAAGGCTTACAAGAATCTAATGGGTGGGATTTGCTTATTATTCGCACAATTTGGTTTTGTAATCTAAAAGTCTGGGAGCTATAAGATGTATTTCTCCAGAATATTATGCCATATCTCAGACGGGAATGAACATTCGCGCAATATACACAGCAGTGTGTAGGCTGACTGAATTTGAAAGAATTCTGAAAGCATAAAAAACATAATTTAGTGTTCAGTTCATTTAAATGGATATTCTATTGAAGGTTTGACTGAATTGAAAGACCTAAAAATGTTGTTACCTTAACATCAGTCAATGGCACGCCGTTCATTTTAAGTGAAGTGTCGAGCTGTTTATTTGAAATGGAGAACTGCATTGAAACAGTTTTCTTTTCATTTTCTATTAATTTGTTATTACGAAACCAATTCAAAATATCTGATATCGTACTATTTACGGTTTCTTTATTGCAAAGAATATTCGTATCGTTTGCAAAGAGATATGTTCTTCCGTTACTAATCGTCGAGAGCATATCGTTTACGTATAGTAGGAAGAGAATAGGGCCTCAAATCGATCCCTGTTGAACTCCACATGCAATTGGCTAAGAATCAGAAAAGTGTGTACATAATGTTCTATTATTCCAGGAATGTATTTCTACTCTCTGAGATTGTTGATTAAGGTACGAACACACAACATCTAGAGCAACACCACGAGTTCCATACAAAGGTAATTTTGAGAGTAAAATGTTATGATCAATGACGTCAAAAGCTTTTGAAATATCTAGATATATTCCAATAGGTTCTAATTCCAATAGGAAAAAGAAGGGTGCATTAAGACAGAGTGAGAATCAACACAATTTTATCCTTACCGTAATTTGCACGTGACGTGCATTTTAAGATTGATTCACTAGAGCATACAAAAAGGAACTTCTTTGTCCGGCTATAACCCACAAGACCTTTTGATTTGAATTCTTTGCCATGATATTGTTGTAAAATGTTGTGGTTTTAAGGTAAGCTTTGGAAACATTCATGTTGATCACAAGTGTTGATGTGGTGTAATTTCTAAATGGCTTAAATTGCATTAGAAATTTGATCCATTTTTGCTTTAGAAAAAGTTGCATACAATAGCCATAGAGATTAACGTTCAAGTTCAAAATTTCTAACGGAAGAATACTTAAAGTAATACGAGAATAGATTTTGAAGTACGGTAGTGATAATTGTGCTTAAGTGATTTATATGGTGGAGAAAGTAACGTTTAGGTTTTTAGTAACATTTTTAAATGTTGAAATCTTGACAGAATTTTTATTTTTAAAATAACTAAGAAACTTTCCCCGTCATGCTTTAATGTAGCAAACCAATGAGGTGGATATCACGATGGACGTCAGAGCATGTTTTTCCTGCTTTTTTAGGCAAGGAGATAGTGCAGCGTTCAGGAGGTTTATTCTTAGAACCTGGCTAAATTTTAGTGATAGTTTCTCCAGTACATGCTTATCGAATAGTTAGAAAAAAATCGAAAACATCGCCATGCGTAATCGTTTTATGGCTTTGCTTATAGCCAGATCTTTCCCTTAATGCTTTTTAGTCTTGTATTTCTGTCGATAGAAAGAACAGTTATGCAAAGCGACAAAGTGAATGGTGAACTTAACTCTTCAAAAAAGACGTGGCTATCTGTCTCCGCGGAAAATCAGCTAATACCAAAAATGTTGGAATAATGTAAATATTCGTTCGAAATTGATAGAACTCAAAAACAAAATATTATTCAAATACAATAATATTATCGATAACAATGTGCATAATAAAATATCATATGAAAAATATGCTTCAGATGTTTTTGTTGCATATTCTCCTAAACTACCCCTTCCTCATTCTGTAATTTTTCCAGAGCGCGAAATGAAACAGGTTCATGCATTACAGCCGTGTTTATCACTTGCAAGCTATTTATTGTATTTTTATTGAATGAATTTATATTTAATATTTCTGTATGTGATATGTCTTCTATGTTTCCTTTAAATCTTCTCACAGGGAGCACAATCTTTTGAAATGTCATCGAAACATGTTGGCAGTATAGACTGTAAGATATTAAAGCAATTTTCTGAAATACCATATCTTACTACGGAAGATTATTTTTTGTACCTATCAATGTGAGCTATCACAATTTTTTTGCGTTTACGTCCGTCAAAATTGAAATAATTTAAAATGTTGACCTGACTTTCAATACACGTTCTTCATTCACATTTCTTCACATATCCTTACCAAATGATTTTCGGGGTTCAATTAAAAATCGACAACGCTAGTGTTACATTTTTTAGTTCAAAAATAAATCGATATTCCTTTTTTCGTAACTTTGTTCGGAGTATGCATTTAAATAGGTGTTTAATCTCACACAAGCGAAAGTATTGTGTAAAATTTATTACCAGTGAACTTTCTGGACAATAACGTGAATTTTTGCCGACATTCCCTTTCCCATTCCCTTTTCAGTTAAATCCCTGACTGATTGTCTGCTATTTAGCATGCTCACTATAGTCAATTGTCGCATTGTTACAGTTTAAACCACATCAGGTGATTCAGGGCATCAGCTGATGTCACTTCAGTGCCTCTAACCGGGAGGGCCTAGGTTCGAGTTCCGACGATAGATGGATTTTTGACACTATCCAGATAGCTAGCCCGAGTTCAGTCACTGCCTGGAGAAGAATTCTTACGGCTGGCTGCTCTGATCAGTAGTTTTCCGTGGTTTCTCTGTTCAATACCAGAAGAAAACCGGAGCAGAACCCTATGTAATGGGCCACGGTCAGGGTGGTATCATTCCTTCCTCTTCCATGCCGTATTTTCAGCCCTTATTTACACGCACTTCACTACCACATATGCTGGGAGACCTTTGAGCTTGTCCCGGCTGGGGCGGTAATCCTCTAGTGGGATATACATCGCTGGTGGGTTGGGGAAAACCCCGCCAGACAGTATGTCGGCCCCGGATCTCACAATCTTCAGGAGGGAAATCACCTTCACCTTCCGAGCAAAAACATGCACTACACTTACGAGGCTAATGACCATAGCTGCTGACACGCCCGGAATCACTAATCAATCAATAATAAAATCCTTACTTATTGATCTGCCATTTATCCTGTCGCATAGTAAACGTTGACGGAGTGAAGGGAGCGCGGGGCCTCATGAAGTGTGTGTGTTGTGTGTTGCAGTGCCTCCGCAGAATCTGACGCTGCTGAACGAGGAGGGCCGGGAGATCGAGGGCGGCGCGCTGGGCCCCTTCGCCGAGGGCGCCTCCACCGTCGTGCGCTGCGTCGCGGAGGGAGGTGAGCAACGGCGCCTTCTCGCTACTTCTGTCCGCCCACGCAAAAGGCTGCGGGCGCTATCGGCTAGCGCCTTGCGCGATACGTGGGGGTCGCGGATTCGAAACTCACTTACGCACGGTTGTATACTTGTTTATACATGGGCATGGTTTGCTTTCTAACCTTTCATGAATCGCATTTCCAACAATATCTGTGTTACTTCGCCGTCTGTATGGCGCAGGAGCATAGCTGCATACTTGTGTTGGAGCATGGTTTGTTTTCTCACTTATCATGAATCGCATTTGCAACAATATCTATGTTACTTGTCCGTCCATATGGCGCAGGAGCATGCTTATATACTTGTGTTGGGGCATGGTTTGCTTTTTCGCTTATCATGAATCACATTTCCAACAATATCTGTATTACCTCTCCGTCCAGATGGCGCAGGAGCATGGTTGTGTACTTGTGTTGAGACATGGTTTGCTTTCTAAACTTTCATGAATCACATTTCCAACAATATCTGTATTACTTCTCCGTCCGAATGGCCCTGGAGCATAATTGTGAAGGCTGTGCGCACAGTGTCGATCATGATTTATTTTCTCTTGTGGCATGGTGGGACGGACCCAATCACAAAGCGCCACCCTCGAAGGATGGGCCTTTCCCCCTAGACAAATGACTACGAGCCGAAACCGTCTAGCTTACATTAGATGACCCCACGAAGTGCCACGGCATCTTCCTTCCTTCTACTCTTTACTATATACATAAATACTTATATTTGTTTTCAAAATGTCTCCCATTTTTTGTAACATTTATTAGTACTTACTAAATGTAGTCCAATGACTTAAACGCTTTGGTTTGGTTTGAATTAATTTTATTTATTTTATCATTGAACACTAAAACTACAAGTAGCGTAGTAGGAAAAAGTGAAATATATGCACGTTTTTTTAAAATCAAGAATCTCCTTCCCTCATTTTATTCACACATTGTTGCATGATGAACACATTTTATTTACATTCATAATACCTAGTTCAACACAAACGTTGTTTTGTAATAAAGTAAATTGTTAAAACCTGCAAATGTTTCTTGAGTTCTAGATTCCCCATTCTCACTTCTTTCACTATTGTTGTTGAAATAATGGGACACGAAATGTTCGCTCTGATTCCTCTTTCTCATATTTGCATCAAGGAAAAAATTACCAATTTCATATAACACGGTTGTGAACGAAATAACGTCTCCCCTCCCCGCTCTTCTCACATTAAAGTGAGAGCCGTCGTACTAGTAACTCGCTAATAGGGATGGAAACACCAAAAAATTAAAATTTTATGATATAACTTCATCTTACATTTGATGTTTTTGGAATTAAGTTATTGTAGCATAGTTTATTCTCAGTTCTAAATCCACTAAAACTCACCACCAAGTTGATGTAATAAAAGCAGTAAACATTATAGATCCGGATTGATAAAATTCCTGCGAGGTGTATGAGAAAATGGCTAAATTTATCAGTGTTCACCCCTTCTATTTTCTATACATTTGATAGTCTGAAGTGCGCTAATTATGGATTGAGAGCAAATGTGTGAAATGTAAGTCCTGAACATGATTTTTCCATGGCTTCCTGCTGAAATTAATTGTAGATTTAAATGTATGAATATTCGTTCAGTTTACCGTCAAAAACTATATAATGGTACATTTTTATACATATGCTTGTAAACCGTATTGTAAGTAGACTACGCAATAATTTAATGTAAATTCATCACATTATGTAAATAATTATAATAAGGCCTGTTTATCATCTCATTTGTTGCTATGGCTTCAAACAAAGTTGTGTTATATGCCATCCAAATTCTTATTAACATTAATTCAATATGTGAGTTAATATGAACTACATAATACTTTTATAATTGCCATATATGTTGATAATAAATATTATGCAAACCAACAATTTAATTCATTTCATTGGAAGGCCTATAGTGTTTGTTTATTTTCATTCATTGAAATCACAAATCAATACATAATTAAAATAATCACAAATGCGTGGATTGTAGGCTTCATTATTAACCACACAATTTCCCTAAATGTTTTGAATTTCCAATTTACCTAAACCTACCACGTATTTCCTTCATTTACAAAAATGCTAATTGCGTTTAGATGACTATTTAACAATAATTATTGTTATTATAGCAAATAACGGTTTTAGTAATTTGTACGAAGGGATAAGAGATTTCATCATTAATTACAGAAATTTTACTAGTGAAACTACGATGTATTTTTATTATATTAATGAAATGAATATACTTGCATATACAAAGAAAGAAATGAACGCAATTGTCTCAGAGACAAAACTAGAGTCCACATTGTGAAATCCTAATTATATGAACTTATTATTAAATTAGTACGGTTAAAGAATTGGAAAACGATAATAGTCTTATTCTCATAAAATTATTTAAAATAATTTGTATTTACTTACAATACTTTGCCTGATAATTTCATCTCATAATTCCATCCCTATACACTCTTTACTCTCCCTAAATCAGAATTTTAGAGTGTTCCCTTTCAATTTTCCTTAAATATCCTGAAAAATGAGAGGTAATTGCCTCCAGGTGAATCTTAATTTTTTTGAAAGCCAATAAAATACTAAAAAGTACTAAAAGAATTAAGATTTATTTTGTTAGTGAAAAGTCAGGAATGGGCTCAAGGGGCAACAGCAGGCCGGGACGAAGAGAAACTGTGTGAAATGAAATCGTTGGGAGAGTAGCATGCTAGAGAGCGGGCGGAGAGTTTTGGAGAGAAGAGCGGCGAAATGGGGTAGATCCTGGTGGAGTGGGGTGGTGAAATGAAGAACGTGGCGAAGTGGGACGAAGCAGAGTGAATACGGATAAGGACATGGGGCGAAGTGGATCGGTATGAGGCGGAATGTCGGTGTATGTCGCGGAAGAGGGAGAATGTAAAGAAAATTACTTTCATTTTATATCTTGGTACATTCATTTCTTTTCTTGTATCATAGATTATTATATTGTAAATGTCCCAACATTGACGAATTACTTTAGCTAGCTATCAATAACAGCGAATTAATTAGTTTAAATAGGTGATAATTTTAACAATATTTTGACACTGAAATAAAATTGTTTGATGAAAGCATGAACTACAATAGTACGAGAATATTAGAGATGTCAATTCTTTGAAATGTAACATTAAAGCAAAAACTGTGTAAGTGCACATAAAACGACAACAAGTCTAAAACATTTGTTGAATATAAAGCCATGACAAAAGGAAATTCTATTCATAAAAAGATGTTCAATTTATCGTCTAATCTTCAGACTCTTTATCGCAAAGATGATTATTTTCCACTAATCATAAAGACATTAGAATCCTATATTTCATCTTTTAACCATATTTTCCATCTTTGGACCTAAAGACAAGTCGCCTATCCGCCTATAAATTTTTTGATATGAATGAAATATTAAAGATAGAATAATGTTATTTTACAATTTATAAAGTAATTATGTTTCGTTTCCTTTTGTAGATTTCCTTCACGTTTAAAAATTATTTGTGGTGCAATAAAACGAGACAGGTGACCGACCGAACCACTAGGAAACCGACCAGAAGTACGCGGAGAAGGCTGCAACCCGCAGCACTACAGTGTATCACAGAAGAACGGTTGCGTTCCTTTGCGAAAGATAAAACGTGATTGTTATATGTATTCCAGTTCCAGGGTCATTGTGAATATTGGTTTTCTTTCATTTTTTGAACCTAATTAAATCATTTGAATTAGTTCGCTAATATCATTGTATTATTTCTCAAACCTTAAATGTTTTATTACTAATTATGAAGAAGAGACAGCAAGTAATTTAATTTCTTTACAATATATAACGATTTCTAAAATTGAGTTTTTCTAATTAGATGAGTAGCTCACAAATACTTTTCAACATTTTCTTACTGCTATTGTTGACAAGATAATTCGCACATTCCAATAAATCAGCAATTTGTCTGGATGCAACATTTAAATTCTTCCTCTCAGTTAAAAGATTTTTAAGAAATTTCTCTGAGATTTAATTTTTATTGTAGCTTCAAGTTTCGATTTAATGTTTCACTACATGCGTATTCAATAGCCGCAGGACAATTTTTAACTGAGAAGCGTAAAAATATTTTGTGCGGTAAAAAATGGATGAAATTGTATTCGCAACCAATAGCGAACGGAAGTGAATCACGAAAATTTTTTTTTGCAAGAAAAAAACGGTTTGCCTGCTATTTCAAATGTCACGTGGTTTAAAAATTGTTCAATGTTTTATGTACGGAATGTTAGTATTTATTTAAAAGAACTAAAATATGTAATTATTTGAAGACGGGTGTATACGACTACACTGAAAAAAAATTCCATAACCAAATATATCTTATGAGCGAAATTTGAATTTCTTTTTAATGCTTGCTCTATTTAAAATTTTATATTTGAATATTTTAAAAATAAATTCACTTTAGAAATTAAAACATTTTCCTTGAAGAAAACAATTTTCGCCACTATATAATGAACTATAATTTTCATAATATTAAATGATCAATAATAAAATATTCAAGAAAAATATTTTATTAAAACAAATTTGTATTGAAGTTGATTAAGATTTGTATTGATTTGAACAATAAGTACTGGAAACAGTCTGTTTTAAATAGCTACAATGCAATCACCACGTACCCCCAGCAGGCTAACAAACAGAAACATACAAGAAGCAAGAGTAATATGAATTCATTTTTAGATTGCTTTATGACTTTCTTAAAATAGTACTTTATAAAGAATAGGTAATAAATAACTTTACTGCTACTACGGACATTATTTACTTAAAACCTTCATTCAGAAACGTCTGAATAAATAGTTTTTATGCCAGCAGTATTGTACTACCTTCCGTTCAGATAGATTTTTATGAACAGTGCTAAAAATGTTGCAACATTATATTCGTACCTTACTAGTTATCGATATCCGAGTCCTTGTATCCTTCACAACTGATGCTCCAGGAGCCAGTGGCTTCATCCATCAAATTTTGACAAGAATAATGTTCTAACACGACGGACATCGTCCGCGCGAAGAAGGACTTCGACTGAGTGAAAATGATAGAAGTATGCCCTTGTAGGTCATTTCCATAGTTACCTCTGTTACAGAGATGGGCTGTATCTCAGTAACGATTATCGAAAATATCTGCATTACTCGTAAATCTTACATTCACTCACTTATATAGTTTTTATTTTGCAGTTTGTTTGCGAGCAAATATTTGGCAAAAATGCGTTTAGTGCTAAATAGTAAATGAGAGGAGTAGAGTTCTTTGACCTATTCTATTAATAGTACTACAATAGTAGTAGTTTACAATAAATATCTACAATTATATATATATATATATATATATATATATATGTAATGTCTAAAGTATGATATCCTTAAAGTCGTCTGATAGTGTCATTTTGTAGGAAGTTGATGGCTAGAATATTGGGATGGTTATGTAGTCGTTGTAGGTATTTTGCACTGGTCTTGTTGATTTCGTATTTTATTGTTGGGATATGTAAGTCTTTGTGTTTAGTGACTTTCGTATCGTACCATAGGGCACTTACAAATTTTCTCTCTTTAATAGGAAGCGTTGTAGTATCTTAATGTTAGAGTTTTGAGCTATTCCTCAAAGTTTATGCCATTCGCTCTGACTAGTTTCAATATTGATTTGTATACAATTACTTTGTTTGCAATGCTTAAAGATGATTTTCTTCCCAGAAGCTAGTTTAACATTATGTTTTAGGCCTAATTCTTTTCTTTTATTCTTAATATGATTTTTCCATGTGAGTCGTCTGTGAATAGGTTGCGATCCAATTTTTATAGGTGGGCATGTTTCGTGCTTCACTCTGAAGGTGACATGGGCAGATTTCATTGTCATTGATCTTACATTTCACACATTTGTATTTTCTGAACTCTAAGTGAGTACATAAAAAGCAATAAAGGAACATAAAGGGAATGGAAGAGAGGAAAAGTATGAAAGTAATTTCCTGAAATAAAGAGGGTACAAATTTATCACAAACTAGAAAACGTGAAAAATCAAGTAAATGTTAAACAGGAGATAATCTGAGCAATAATTCATGCACAAGACGCAAATGCTTCTTTGTAGCTTCAATCACTACTTAAAATTATTTATGCAACGATTGGACAACACACATACTTCCATTTAACGCATTTCAGATGATGCAGATAGAATCTAGTGAAGTCTGCTTATTTCTCAATTTGACTGATTTCATCTAAACTCTTTGCTGGTATAAGAGGTGATTCACAGTCTCAAACGTCAGTGTTGACCTAGTGTAGTTAAGAATTAACCCCCGGAGAGTTAATTGGAAGGTACTCCTAGAGAGACAAGCTCCCCCTTCCAAGTTTCGTTTGAGGGCTCATAACGTAAAGGCTAGTGAATAAGCTTTCGACCGCTGGGGAGCCAATTTTTCCCTCAGCAAATCCAAGTGAAATTTGGGGGAAAGGGGGACAAGGTTGTTCTCTCGTATTTATGTCCGTTGATCTGGCTCTGATTTGTCTTTTTTCACATTATTCACCTCATCATTTTTATTGCTATTATTTACTCAATAGATCATCACTTATGAACCTCAATACACTTACAATGTATTTTTACAATGAAACCCAATTTTTCAAAGTCATGCGAAACAGACTTGGTCTGTTTTGGTTGTGTACCTCTCATCTCAATGCTTATTATTCTCGTTGCAATTCATCCACATCATAACTGACATTCCTTTAATAAACATCGAAGACCCCCAAACCTCAATGAATATAAAGTCTGTTTGCAGCGTTGCCTAACTGCGCGCGCGCGCGTGTGTGTGTTGCGTGCGGCAGGTCGACCGCTGCCGCAGGTGTCGTGGTGGCGGGACGGCGCGCCGCTGGCCGCTGAGGAGGCCGCCCTGCAGGCGCAGCAGCAGGCGTTCGCGCAGAGCACGCTGCGAGTGGGGCCGCTGGCGCGCGCAGACCTGGGCTCAGAGCTGCAGTGCCGCGCTGCCAACAGCGACCTCGTGCCGCCGCTGCGCCGCTCGCTCGCCATCGACCTGCTGCGTGAGTGCACTTTGCGTTTAGTTTTTCGAGGGCGCCCGCCTCGCCTGAGCCGCCCGCCACCCGCCCGGCGGGATTTCGCGTGGTTGGCTTTAGATGGGCGCTCCCGCTGGGCGAGCCCTGGATGGCCCACCGCGCTGCCATGCCGGTTCGAATCTCGCGCAACGGAGGCAGCAGAGTTCTCATTTGTGTGATTGCGGCGAGGAAGGCAGAGACGTTACGCTCTAGCCCTTGTATGGGTTGGTCCAGGCCCCAGAAACGGCCTATTTTTAGTTAATATTTTTATCATTTAAGGTACTAATTCCAGCATCTTTGTTTGAAATAGATTTATAAAAGAGACCCGAATAATTTTTCCGCGCCCATTTCTTTACGCTACTAAGAAGAAAATAGCAAACCAAAACGGATCCCATTATATCATGTTCTTCATTATCGACTTTAAAATTGTCTCAAGTGCTCTGTATTTTGATGTGAACACTACTACACATAAATAAATGACTTAATTAGTGGCGAATGTCATGCCCTCTTCAACCTTTCAAAATTGTTAATACAATAGTATGCAATAAAATGACTTCCCACTATGTACGTCATTTCAGTAGAACAAGGGTCTATCCCACATTGACATACTTCTGAGATATTCAGAGTTTTATTAAAACTTTGATAATATAACTCAGTGTACTTTTAAACACAGTACACTTGCATTTTAGTACATACTCGATTTAAATAACGCATTACTCTAAAATAATAATATTTAATGTTATATTTCTATCAATAATTCAATTTGACAAACAAATGTGCGATAGACTACTTTTTCTATTGAGCTTTTCAGTTCTACATGATGAATTTGGGGCCCCGAAAGAAATGTGGGTTTCCAAATAACATAAGTAATTCGTCAATAGAGCATCAAAATAGATCACTTTTATTGATAACATCCCGTATTTTAATATGCCTAGACAATGCGAAAAATGCGAATGTGTGTTGTATAAGTACTTTTTTGTTTGCAAAGAAATTGCTTGCAGTGTTTCAATTTTTCCGCTCATGTAGTACTCGCCTCCCGTAATTTAACTTTTCATTGTGGTTGTTCTAATTAGCTTATAACACGAACACTATTAAAAATCACAAAATAAACATGCTTGGAAACGTTTTGTTATAACATTAACATCAAGCTTCACATGAATACTACAATAAAATTGTAAATATACCTAAAAACACCTTACCATGCAGTTGACAATATATCGATTTGGTTACTAATGAAACCAACGTATTTCAAAAGAGCGGGCGATCAGAAACAATTACAATATTTAAAAAATATTGTATAAATTGTATAAATATAAATTCTTAATTAATTGATCGTGAGATATTCTGAGAAAATGTATTCCGGGTATGTTAGTCTTCCTGTGTTAATGAACATTTAACAGTATTAAAATGTTTACCGACAAACAATACAGAACTTACAAAGCAGTAACTGAGTTGAGAAGCTGCCACTTTAAAGCTGGATGGGTTCCAGTATCCAGTTTCTTTCACTTTTAAAATATTTATTTACTAAGTGTCGATAATTTGTACTGGTCCATGTAATGTAAATGTGTTCCATGTGATAATTTTGCGAGAACGTCTACAAGGATGCAAAACCTTTCCTTCTATTTGTTAGTATCTAATGAGTAATAAGAATTCTGAAAAAATAGAGAATATATTGAAAGTCTTACCATTGTGGTTTAAAAATCCTAATTGAATCACTCATGCAATGTTATATTGATCTTCTTGTTACTAGCTCTTGGTAACGCCGAATATCTTTTGCTCTTTATTCGAGGCCCACTAAATAATCCGAGATCAAACGTGGTCTAATACACTTGTTGAAACAGTGTTTTCTCTTATTCTGATGGGGTTTATCATTAAGAGACAGATCTGAAGGATCTAAGCATTCCCGTGAGTGATGTGATTATCGTTGAACAATTGTATTCTGTCGGCAAACGTTGACTGTACAGACAATTTACTGATGGAAATAACGCAAGATATAAATTTAGATCACTAATACTAAAATCATTGAACAAACATATTTTAAGTTATTTCATAAACTATTAAATATAGCTCTTTAATCGTACAGACACGACGTCAATGTTCATACTCACATTCATAACGAAAGTGCAAAGTATTGACCTAGTCCTTATTATTGTGTCTTGTTCTATTCAATTACATCGATTAAGAAATACATAATTTTTCATGAATTGTATTTAATATATTTGTTTTAAAATACATTTTGTGTAGCTGAATTATTCTTCTCAAGAAAGGCAAGTAAAGAGACACAGATATTTCATTCTCGTTCGTATGTACACAGATATCAGAAAAGTTGAGTTTGTAATCTACGTTCAGGTATATTGTCTACCCTGAAGTATCTTTAAACGGATTGTATGCTATACAAACAATATTTTTTTAATTTTTTTATTTGAGCTTTGCGTTAAAATATACGTGGAAGAGGACAACTTTGAACTGTCCTTGCCTTCACCCATTCCAAATACCATCGAATTCCTCAAATCATGCAAAATATAACGAGTGACAACGGATTAGTAAAATCGGGCTCAGAGGGCAGAAGGTAATGGAATGAGAGCGGCAATTTCTCCCTCAGTGAATCAGCGGGGCGAAGGCGACGCGCGGAAGACAAACACCGGTCGGGTCGTGATTCAGCGAACCCGCCGATGCAGCAGAAGGGGCTCCAGGCAGGGGAGGGGGAAGGAGGGGGGAGCGGCAGAGGCGGCGGCGCGGGGCGGAGGGCGCGGGGGCGGCGCGTGGGGATGGGGAAGCGACGAAAACGACAGCGGAGGCAGACTGCGTCTGCGGGTGGTGGCTGAGGCCGTGGCGATGGAAGCGAGCAGGTTGGGAGTCGAGAGCAAAGAACAAGAAAATTTGAAAACGATTTAAGAGATTGATTCAAAAGCAAGAATAAGTAGAGACAATGACGTATGATGTTGCTTTTGACGTGTATTAATATCAAATGTAGGATAGAATTAAAAAGATACAAAGGTGTTAACGCAGAAGATAATGATAATTATTGTCATCTTAGACGTGGGATATTGTTTGGAATTTGACAGTTGGAAATGACGACTGTAAGGAAGGGTGTAAGGAGGGGAAAATAAGTTCAAAGACTAGCAACAAATGTGATGAATGTAACACTAAAGAGAGATTAAAATTACTCAGAGATATTTAGAAATACTAAAAAAATATTAAAATTCAAGTAGAAAGAACAAGGAAATGTCAGTAAGCAGTTAGGTTGCAGTAAAATTAGCTATTATTAATCTCGCGTTTATTAACAAGATTCTGGAGAGGGATGAATCGGAAGAAATGGTTTCATTAATTACATATTGTAGGTTCAATCGATTGTAAGAAAAACAAGGATTTCCGCAGCAATGGAAGATGAGCTTTAATGGAAAGAAATGCCATATATCTGCAGAAATATTCACATTTGTTAATCATTTGTTCAAAAACATAAATAAATTACGACAATTGGCAAAACTACTGTACGATACTTTAAATTATTGGTCATGAAACTGGAAATAAAAGAGAGAATCTGATGAATGTAAAAATAACTTGATACATTGTAATTCACTAATTTCCCTAATTTCTGGGATGACTTTTGTTTGGAGAAAAGAGTGGAGATAGAACTAAAAACAGTATATGAATTTGTGTAAAATACTACAAAATCTATTCAAATAAATATTCTATAATAAATGGGAATGTAAAAGTTATTTTTAGGTGCGAGGCTTCTATTGTGTACGCACGAACAATGTATCGTGCTACAACAGGTAATGAAAATGTGCCAAAGAAAACAACAATTCAATGGTAACCAAGATATTTTCTTTTCAGCTCTTTCTTCAGTCGAAATGAGCTTTCACTTTTCCTTTGAAATTAATAGTATCAGCGCCATAGAAATCGCTTTTCACGTCTCCACTTTTTCATTACAATCGCCTATACTCCCTAACAATTATTACGTCTCCACCTTTTCTATTTTCCATTATCATTTAGGTTTTCTGCTTTCTATAATTTAAATTCTAACTTAATAAATTTATCTTTTCTGACTGCCGAATGGAATTTCTATATACTTCGTCGGCGTTAGACATCGCTTCTCTTTGCATACAAACACACGGAACATAGAACTGAGAAGTTACGTATATATAAAAACAACGTGGAGATTGTCTCGTGTACGAACCCAAAGAGGAAGAGAAAGCTGCTTCTTTAGAGGTGCTAGAAGATGGGACAATGGCGCCGAAAACCACGATGATGGGGCACTTGAAAACGATGGATATGGCCGCGGAGGCTACGCAGCCCAGACGCTGAAGATGCTGTAGCAGCTTGGAGAGCCTGATAGCAGAGGTTCTAAGCAGACGACAAAGGTAATGCTTGCCGCTAAGGAAGGCTGAAGTGGCAATGAGAAGGCATAAACGGGTGCGACGGTGGTGGTGAAAATGAAGAAAAGAGAAAGTAAAGAAGTGAGATGTAAGGAAGGAAGGAAGTAATGCGTGGGGAGAAAGGCGTGAGATTACGCCAAAGGAGATTCTACAATAAGTGGAATGGGGACGCGGAAATAAAGAGAAATGGAAGAGGAAGGATAGCTGTGGAGGGGCGGAATTGCAGTGATCAGAGTCGATCACGTGACAGAGGGTAATGTGCGGTGATGTGAGGACGTTGGAGTGTCTAGACTAAACGAAAATAAGTGAGAATTCGGACCTGGGACTATACAGGCAAAGGTTAAACGAAACTTCTTCGAAGGAAAAGAGGAGAACGGTGTGTATTTGAGAAAGGTTTGAGAGAGGTGTGGATTTATGCAAGGCAGGGGAAGTTGAGAGGTTGACGAAGGCAGATTGGTTTCGAGCCGGATCGGTTCGGCCGCAAGGCGTCGTGAGGTAGACCGTTGTGGGCGTAAGGCGACGCCAGGGAAAGGATGAGCATCCCAAAAATAAAACCGTGCAGCGGGGGGCAGGGGGAGAGAAGAGATCGTATGACAAAAGATGAGGGGGTGGACGAGCGTGGGCGCCGGAGAAATGACACTGCGGCAGAAGACGTTGCACGGCGGAGGCTCGCAAAGGAAAAACGTTGGCGGAGAGGAGCTAGGAGGGGGCCCGTGCACGTGAGGGAAAGGGAGGCGTAAGGACCGCAGTGTGAGGGGGCGGGAAGGTACGGGAAAAAGAATGTCCGCGGAATAACACCATGGCCGGAAAAAAACTATGAATCAGGAAGTGTGCGAGTGGTAGGGCGCGGAGACAGGATGGCATTGGGCAATATCTCGCGGAGGCAGAATAGTGCAAACGCTGCGGAGGGCATGGAGGCTGGATAGTGCATGATAGGGT